ATAATATAATATTTTAATATAAACTAGTCATTTCAACCCTGGAACATAAATAATTTAATAACCTAACAAAAGTTCAAACTTGTCAATATCACATTTATTTTAGAAACTAAATTGAAAAAAAAAACTTTGTAAATATCTCGATTCAGTTTTTTTTTTAGCAACTCTAGATTCAAATATTAAAAACAAAAAAAAGAAGAAAAAATATATAAAAAAACATACACATAAAGATCTAAAAAATATTGGAATATGAGAAAATTAAATACACCAAAAATAAAATAGAAAATAAACCTTAGTTCATTTGAATGGTGATGAAAAAAAATGTATACGGAGAGTCAGTTTATAGTTATTAGGATTAAAAAAAAAAGGACAAATCTAAATTTGAAACGAATTTGGTTGATGATGATCTGCAAAGGAGATTAAGATATTATAGTTGATGATGATCTGCAAAGGAGATTAAGATTGGAGTAATACGTATTCTTTTTCCACCAAAGTAAGGCAAAATCGGAATTTGTTAAGTTTAAACTTGAAATCCTCACAAATCCGACCTATTTGGAACGGAAAATATTTGAACGAAAAATTGAATTTCAAATCATTTTAGGATTTCAAATTCTTTTTTCTTTAGTTATCCAAAAACATGAAATGATTTCAAAATCCACCCTCCAAATCGGAGGTTCCAAACAGGGGGTAAAAGACCTGCATTTAGGTTACAAAAGGCGAGCATTCTCATCTAAAATATGTAAATAACACGATATTATTCAGTCAGAATTTCGAACATAGTAAAGAGACACAATATKTCATGTATATTATTGGTATATCGGCATTCATATTAGGTATATCATTGGTAGATCAACACTTATAATCAGTATATCAATGATATATCAAATCAGGCAATTAGATATATTAATGGTCTATCAAATCAAGTATATATATCAGGTATATCATTGGTATATTAGCATTCATATCAAGTATATAACTGATATATCAACACTTATAATCAGGTGCCCCTAAAAATATTAAAGAAGTTCTAAATAATGGTAAGCTATGACAGGGAAGATAGAAATAGGGGAGTTGGCTGGTAAAAATGAACAGTCACAATTATTGGGTAATATCAATTTATCAGCTTCGTCATTGGAAGTGGCTTCCAATTGCTGGAAAATTCTAAGATATATGGGAGACTAGGATGCTGAAAAAAACAATTGACCAAGAAGTTAGTTGGTCAACTTTTGCATGAAAAAGGGTAAAAAAGAACGAAAATTCGTGCTAATGTTTATTAAAATTTTCATCGCCCATCTCAAACCGAACGCGGTGTAATCAAACTTATGTTTGATTTTGCCTGTGAAAAGCTCCAAATAGGCACACGGTAGTTTAGAGTCGAAAGAGCTCGAAGTTGGAATTCAATAGTCTACAAGCCCGCCCCTGAGAGCGAAGTTGGAAGAATCTCTGTTGCCGTATCCGATGATGCTAGCGCAGTCAGAAGAATGGGTCAAGTGGGAATTGATTCGTTTAAGTTTCCGAAGTAAGTTCGCCTAGTTTTAGGTTTTAGCACCTTCGCTGTAGAAGCACCTCTTTCCGACGCTAAGCGCAAAAGGCACTCAAAGGAGTAGTAAGACCAACCATCACTACCATAGGGCTAGCGTGGTAAATCTTACCACCCCAAACTCTTATTTTCCCTCCCGTGTCAACAAGCAATTGGACACTCTCTGATTTTTTTAGTAATATAATAAATCAGGTATAACAATGGTATATTAACATTCATATTAGGTATATGAGACATGCATTTAGGTTATAAACGACAAGGATTTCATATAAAATCTATAATAACACAATAAAATTCAATAAAAGAAATTGAATACCGCGAAGAGAAGTAATATATAAGGTATAACAATATTCATATCAAGTATGTTATTGGTATATGCTCATAATCAGGTACATCAAATCAAATATATATATTAGGTATATAATTATTTAGACTCCATGTTTATTAAGAATATAGGGGCTCTTTTGTGGGTTTTCAAATTTGGGTATTTTAAATTGAGAAGTTATTGCTATTTTTTTTTCATAAATTCTTATTATTTTATTATTTTATTTTTACTTTTGAAGGTGCCCCTAAAAATTAACTTCAAATTAATAGGGCTAGTTTTCTGATTTATTAAAATCAGAGTGTCAGATTAAAATAAGACGAAGTATTTTAACCAAAGTAAAAAGGAGTCACAATAGATATGACCATTTAAAATAGGGAATTTCAAAATATGGCCAAACAACTCATAATTTTCAATAATGCCCAACGTAAAATTGGAAAGATTTGTACCAATATTTGAGGGACGAAATTACCCTCTTCTAAAATAATTTTAAAAGGAATTGTTATTTTTTCTTTTTGGAGAATCCTACCTAACCAGGAAAATTCAAATATTTTTAGAATCCTACCTATATTTTTCAATTCAAATAGTTTTCCAACGAGAGGATTGTACTAACAAATCTAAGGAAAAAAATAATATCTAATAAACACTAATAAACAAAATTTAATTAGAAATAGAAATACTAACACTCAAGCTAGAACAAATGGATAACAAATACATTAAATATACATTAAATATGGTGAACAAACAAACAAATACAACAAGTACGGTGAACAAAGAAATAAAAACAACAAATAAAAAATACGGTAAATAAAGAAACAAAAACACAACAAATATGATGAATAGATAAACAAAAGTATAACAAATATAGACAACAAATATGGTGAACATAGAAACAAAAGTATACCAAATACGGTGAACACAAACATACAACAAATACAGTGAAAAGAAGAACAAATACAACAATAAATATGGTGAAGAGAGATGTATTTTTGTGAATAATTAATATAAAAAATATAAAAATAAGGAGAGAGTAATAAATACATTGAACAATATCAACTAAAAGAAATACAAATAGTGTGAAGAAATAAAGTATATTTTTGTGAACAATTAATAAACATATAAAAATAAGGAGAGAGCAACAAATACAGTGAACTAGATGAACTAAATAAATACAAATAGTGTGAAGAAATAAGGTATATTTTTATGAACAATTAATAAAAAAATATAAAACACTCTAACCTCAAACAAGAAAAGATACACAAACTATGGAAACTCGACATATAGGCTTCCATCTCCTTTATCCTCCACCTTCCGTCGTGCCTTTTGCATCCCATTTCTATCACCCACTGTCTTGCCTCACTGTTGTTCCCTCGCTCGATTCTACTATTTTGTCAACTCAACTTCGATAGATTCCCTCTTTGATCGTCTCCCTCAATGTGAAGTCTCCTTATAATTGGTGAATTCTATCTCCATATATATCTAAGTTTATAATAATAGTGGTTGGGAAAAAACTAGAATCAAGGAGAGATAGAATATAGGGAAAATAATTGAAGTTAAATATTTTGATTTTAAAACTAATAATTAAATAGAAGGGTAAAAATGTCAAATATCACACTTGCAAAAGAGTTAGAAGAATATAAATGTACATTTTTCATTATCAAAGATGATTGAGTTAATGTCGGAGGGCTCTTTTAAAAACTTATTTTCACAAAGTTTTCCAATTTTACACTTTTAGATTTATGCGTGTAGGATTTTTTATAATACCAATTTTACCCTTATTTATTGCATTTATATTTATTATTGTTAATTTTTTTTGGTTGAAATCTAAAAGATTTAAATACCTAAATTGTTGACATAATCTTTAAATTATTGTGGGTCCCATACCAATTTTTTCCTTAATCATTTAATTCACTCATTCATATACATTAATGAGATTAGTATATGGATAACCTATATTAATTACAAAAAGATTATCATGATTTCAATTTCTAAATTAATTAATGTATAGATTTACCCATGACTTCAAATTCAAAATAGTTGAACAATATACCAACGATTTACCCACAATTTAATGATATTAGGAAGTATAACATCAAAAGTTTTCAGCGACAAAAAACAACAAGACTGGATTATTGTATCTTGCAATTTCGTATTTAATAATAGATATAAAATATATCTAGATATAATCTTTAACTATTGAAGTCTCAATCTCATATAAACTTATATAGTGTAGATATGCATATAACATTAACCTATTCTTAGACACCCCCCTAACACATACTTCATTATTATGAATTGCTCTTATTAACATTAACCTAGCAAATGCAATCTAATATAATTACAAGATAAACCTATATGATAAATATAAAATATATTCGACTATTGAGTTCCTACAACTACCAAAATGGTACTTAGTTGTAGATATATATTATATCCGCATATATATAGAAGAATTCATACCTAAATTTCGCACCACTCAAATTTGGCGACCCAGCGGCAGTGTGGTTCCCTTTGCAGATGACAGCATTCTCTATAAAGATTCGTTGACAACCTGCGACAAACGAGCATATTCGATGACACATTGATTTACGATAGATTTGCTATGGCCTTCCGATCGGTGACTAAACAAACCTCGGGATAAACGGAGTGCTCGAACGGTCGACGGACGACTGATGATGAAGAAGAAGCTATAAGGATCTGCTCCGCGACGAGGAAGAAGCTCGAACGGACGGAAACAGTAGTGTTTGTGGGAGGAGAGAAAACAAGAAAGGAAGAAGAAACGGCCAAAGGAGGATGATTTTTTTGAAAATTTGCAATAATGGAGGATTTTGGGGATTTGGTAAGTTTTATTTTTGGAAAGTCTAATTACGGATAAAATAGGGATTTAAAATGTAACAATGATATAATGGTAAATTGGTGATGGGTACCATCTTAAATAAGGTTATTTAACGACGAAAGTTTAAATTTGGTACATAATTAGAGTCTCCAAATAGTCTATTAATTTCTAATCTTTTGAGATGATTTGGCCATTTTTCAATATACTGTAAATTCAAAGTAAAAACACTGGTTGTATACACGGAAATGAGTGGGTCAAAGATCCAGGCCCCACTTACGGCCCACGTACTAAGAGAATTGGGTCGATTCCATTGCTGCACAATCGTCAATCTCCAGTGTTGGCATTTTCCACAGAAACCGTATGAATCTGGGAGACGGTCGGTGGTAGTCTCGGCGTCGGAGGGTTTTAACCAGAATCAAATCTCAAGGGAAAAATGGGAGCTGGGTGGAGACGGTGGTCAAAATTGGCCGCCGCAGTGGCGGTGGTGGCCATACTGAGAGAATTGGGGAAGCGATACGGATGGGAGATTGACAAAGAAGCGGCAATCGAGGTGGTCGGCCAATGGTCCGATCGATTGGGGATATGGGCCATGCCTGCGTATGTCGGCATCCATACCTTCACACTTGCCCTCTGCTTGCCCTACGCCGTCTTCTTCGAAGCCACTGCTTCTTTACTCTTCGGCTTCTTCCCTGCCGTCATTTGCGTTTTCTCTGCCAAGGTGCTTGGGGCATCCCTTTCCTTCTGGATCGGCAGGTATCTCCAAACACTTCTCGTTTTCTCATTTGCTTTTCTAAATTTAACGCCGAATTCATGTGAGGCTTGTGATCTGATGCGGGTAAATTGTCTGCTTGTAGTGTGTAATTGGGGGTATTATGTGTTTGTCTTTAATTTTATGTCAGATTTCTTGAAAATGGATTACTCTGTTTTGACGCTAGAAGTTAAATGACGTCTTTATTCAGTGTAGATAAACAGATTGATATAAATTTTGTTTAATTTCTGTTCTTGGATATTGTTTAAAGAATTGAGGGGGCTTACTATCTGTTGTAACCTTTGAAGATGTTTTGGTTAGTGAATTGAATGATGAAGGCAGAAATATTGTCTATGACGCTGGCTGTATGGAGTAGGGTAACTCAGGTGCTACCACTTGATAGTTTTCAGATTATTTTGGAACAGAAACAGAAACTTTCCATTGATATAATTTTGAAGGGTAGATGAGAAGTTCTCTGTAATGCCAATTGGCATAGATCATCAAAATATTGTGGTGACGAAATTCTTTAGACAAAGTGCACCAATTAGAGGAAGAGAGTATAACTAGGTCTCCAAAGGCTTGAACAGTAGCACGAGTGTCCTGAAACACCCTTTGATTTGTTTTACCTCCTAAGTAACACCATGATAGCATTATACCATAGAGTTTTGCCTGCTCTCTAAAGGGATTGGCACAGGGAAGATGAATGAGAGTTACCATACCAACAAAGGTTAAATTGACTAAACGACTTCCCTCAACTTTAAGCTGCAAAGAAGCTGTGAAACTTGAAAGTAGAGGCAATTCTAGTATTTTGAGGATCTTTTATTTATTTTTTTATTTTTGAGAAAAGACCAAACTTTCATCGAGAAGAATGAAAAATTACAAGAGGGCAGTCTAGTTTGAGGATCTTTTATTAAGAGGCACCGACTTGTGGACAAATCACAAAACATAGTTAGGAAACTTTTTCCGCAATTTGTTGCTAGTGTACAAACAATCTTGGAATTTTTGATTTCCAAATAGCCTTGTCCAAGGCAATATCAAGGATTTCTTCCATTTAAAAGAGGTCTCCAAACACAGATTTGCTGGTAGTCGATCCACTGATCTATAAAAGCATCGACTTCTTCCATTGATGAGCTTCTGCTCTTTCAAGGAAGAGTCCAACTTCCTTTAATGCATGCTAGAGAGCTGTGGATTCTTTACCTGTACCTGCAACTCCATGTTCATTGCAGTCCGGCTTGATGGAACAATAAGACACTCATTTTCAACTTTACTATTAAACGAAGAGTGTCCATATTATACAACCCTTCATTGCTTTACCTGTCCTCAATGCGTCGAAGAAACCGTTTAGGAATGTTAAAATATCATTGCTAATAGAGTTTTATGTAGTGAAGATGAAACTCCATTCAAAGTTACTTTGACAGATAAATTGCTTTACCTTTTTGTAACATGTTCTATTTGTAAGTTGTTACCCCATGTAGAAAAATGTTATCCTAATATGAGGGTGGGGGTCAACATGTTAATCTGGCGGCCTGGCCTGTATTTGGTTGTTCATATAATGTTTCAGTATAATATCTTCTCTAATGTTTGAAGAGTGTCATTGTTGGTTCTTATGAATTTCTATTCTCCATCCCCTCGATCTCAATTTAAGATCATCTTTTGTTCAGGTTACTTTTTAGGAATTCAAAATCAGCTATGGAGTGGGCCCAGAGGAACAAATACTTCCATCTTCTTTCTAGAGGAGTAGAGCAAGATGGTTGGAAATTTGTCCTTCTCGCCCGATTTTCACCGATTCCTTCATACGTTATAAATTACGCTCTTGCTGCAACCAAAGTTGGGTTCTTTCTAGATTTTCTGTTGCCAACTGTAATTGGATGCCTGCCAATGATACTGCAGAACACGTCGATTGGCAGTCTTGCCGGTGCTGCTGTTGCTTCAGCGTCTGGCTCTCAGAAATCTCAGATATGGTCATACATTTTTCCTGTACTTGGTATTGGGTCAAGCATTCTTATTTCCTGGAGGATTAAAAAGTATTCTAGTGGACTAAAAATGGCTGAAAGTTCCTCTAGCGTTGAAGGAAGTGACAGTGTTGACACATCCAAAACTAGGGACCTTAAGAAAACTCGATAATCTTTACCAACAGTATGTGTCATTTGAAACTTTTAGATCAGAAACATTCATTTACGATATGTATACACTCGATCACTGTCCACGACATGCTTACTTCTTCCTTTTTTTTTTTTTTTCTCGAAAAAAGTTATTTGATTTATAACACAAAGTTAATTAAGATTCATATTTTTCTTTTTTAGTTTTTGGTATTTCCAAGACATTCAAAGTATATTAAATTTTATGTGGTTGATTACTATGATTTTGAATCCATTTTTTCTAAGCTCTTTATGGCATGGTAGCTTTGAATTTTGTTCACATGAATTTGTATTTAGGTGAATTGTTCTGGAATTTTGTAGATGTGTGTATTACTTGATTGCTAGAAGTAAAATCCAGGCCCATTATACATTTAAGATTTCATTGGTATTTTCGCCACAAACTGTGTGGAAAATCCAGTGCTCCAGAGCAACTACTTTTTCTCACACTATTCATTTCCTTCCTAAATAATCTTTTTCAATGGCGTTGGATCTCACATCAAATAATTAGGAAAAACTTTCAAATGGGTGACTATTTGAATGAAATATCCAAGGAGATGGGTGTAGAAGTGGTATGATTATGTTAGTATTGGTTTCTAGATTTGGGTTTTATTCGTCAGATAATATTAACAATATAATCGTAATCAAAGTATTAATGAAGTATCTAAATGTAATTGAACTCCAACTTATTGCCTTCATAATGGTATTCTTGATGAATAGCCTTATCACTCTACTAGACCTCATTTTTCTAATACTCACATCACCGTATCTCGTTGTGTTTTTTTAGTTTGCATTCCGTTCACACGATGATGAAGATCTCTTTTAAAGGAGTAAGGTGCTCTATACATCGGGTTGGCCCGATGAGGATGTCGTATCTATTCTTTCTAGTATTTCAGATTCTTGTGAAGAACGTGATAAATGGGATGTTGTTCTTTTCACTACTTTTTTCTCAAATATAAAAGAACAGTCCTCACACATACACTTCCCATTTAACTAGCATTCTTCTAAAGAAAATTCAAATGTTATAAATTGAGTCACTTTACAGTTTTAATTGATAAATTATTATTTTAGAATTTGAATCGACTTAACTTGTAAAAGTTCATGGGTTTAATTGATGAAATTGAGTTTTAATTAACTCAATTGGTTTTTCTCAAAAAAAAAAAATAATAATAATAAAATAACTCAATTGGTCAAGTTTAGAGGTATGAAATGATTTTTTTTTAATTGTGATATATAGTTTCAATTAATTGCTTAGTTTCGTGAATCATCAAATAAAAAGTCAGACTATTAACTTTAGCATAGTTCAACTGGTTAAGACATCAATTTTTGACCAATATATTGTGAGCTTGAATCTCTACCTTCACTTGTTATATTAAATAAATAAATCAATCAAAGATCAGACCGAATTGGTTCGGTTTAGATTGGTTTCTACACACTAATAGTAAGTACCAATAGTGTAGAAATAAGGAGAGGAACCACATTGTAATAATATACTATACTTTAGGGTATTATTATTATTATTATTATTTTTTGGAAAGATAGATTTATTAAAAGGAAAAAAGAAGACCTCAGTCAAGACATACGAGACAGGCCCCGCCAACAAAACAAAAAACAACCAAAAGCCAGCAAAGAGCCGTCACAAAAACCCGAGCAAGGCAACAAAAAAATAACAATCAACATAATAAATCCCAAGGTGAAATAACCATCGGTTGGGTAGACGAGCAACAACTACTAGGCCAAGTAGTACACCGAAAATAGACACCACTCTGAATAACACGAAACAGGATGGAAGCTGTTTTAGAAGGTCCCCATGGATCCGTGCATTATATTCCTTCCAAATATGGTAAATAGTCGCCGATTAGGCCAGCTACCACACACGACGATGCAGAGAGTTGCCTGCACTGATGTGACAAACTCAATCAAGCTCCAAGGACCAACCTCCAATAATATGCAAAGAACCTGACAAAAAAATCATAGCACCCAAAACATCAATACTAAAAGGACACTAAAAAAATAAGTGATCACGAGACTCCACCCCAGCCAATCACAAATCGCCAACCAAGCAATAAAAGAGTGTTTGGGAACATTACCCCCAAACAATAACAACCGAAATCAAGGGACCCGCATGCTACTTGACCGCACCGTATCCCAAGCATTAGGGTATTATTTTGTTCCTGAATTTTTGTGATTTTATTTTTGCAATCTAGTCTTTGATTTGATCCTTTTTTGGTATTTTCCAAGAGATCTTTTTAAGTATTTTCTAAGAGAGGCCAAGAAGTTTTGAATCATCAAGGAGAATGGACTATTGGTTCATGATTCATTCCAAGTTATGACTGAGAAGCCATGAGTCAAATTCAAAAGTTCTTTGATATCAAAGAGGTGGGGTATCACTCAATCTTACGGATTTGTTGTATTTAAAATTTTAAATACAAATCTAACCACAAAAATCAACTCTCATTCATCACATAGTCAACTTAATCATTATTCAACAAGACATAAATTCTCAATCAAAAGGTTGGAATCTAGAGAATTTCCATTTCCACATGTCGTAGTACAAAAAAAAAAAAAAAGCAAGCACATAATCACGGTACCATTCATATTTAATGTGCACTTTTTAATTAAAAAATATGTGAGGTGGGGATTTGAACCTCTAACTTTTTTGACGAAAACTAATGTTGAAATCCACAAATACGGTTAAGCCTAGGATGCTTTTATGTTGAAAAAGAAAATGGAATAGATGCTTATGCTGCTCAAAGTAACCATAGTACTTTTGTCTTAAATATATATTTAAAATAAGATAACATTTATAAGTTTTGTTGAGGGAAAAATCCGAGCAGGATACGCGTCAAGCAGTAGGAGCGACAACAAAGTGCGGGACCACAGACGATTATCATCATACGTTGCGCGTGCGTACGGGCACGTCACCACTATAGCTGTACTGGAGAGACGTCGAGGACTGTAACCTGTCACAGCCGCAAACCAGCAGGCAGAGGCACCACACATTGATTGTCAGAAACGTCCCCCTTTCTCTGTCAATGCCTCGTACAACTCGGCGTGCTCCCTGAGCCCAAAACCATCATCCTTTCTGGTCGGCCATCTATGACTATAAAAGGGAAGAACCCCATCACCACCAAGTGAGTGAAAAATCTGTCACTTAAACCCTAAGGTGTCTACTCCTATTTCTTTTTACTCTGATTACTACCTAAGCATCAGAGTATATTAGGTGGGGCACTGCACCGATGTCGAGTTTTCTGGTTGCAAGCTCATTTGCTCCTCGACGAACACTCTCATCTGAGGGACATGTGGACCTCCATAAAATTCACCATCAACAGTTGGGCGATTGATCGATGTGATCTTGACCGATGGGGCCTGAAGAACCCCCTAACTCTACAAACGAAAATGGGGGCACCAGTGAGATCGCTGAAGGGGAACCCCGGGTTGTGTCGAAAGAAGGCCCTGCCGACAAGGACCCCCTTGTAGCACTCGGACTCATCGATGGCTCGAGGGACCTCTGGGATAAGATTAATGCCAAGTGGCATAAGTACGGGCTGACTAGCTCAAACGTGGAGTCCCAGACCAACACCAAAACATCCAAACACCCAAGTGGGTCCCGCATTATGATCGACCTAGAGAAGCTGGACCGCATCAAGGAGGAAATCTTCAACAGAGTGCGGACCTAACTCGAGACGGGGAGCAAAGGATCCATGGTCCACTACGAGCCTCTAAAGATAACTTAGGAGCCATCACTACCGACGTGCTGGCCGTGGAACTCCCTAAAGCTTCAAGGGGTTGCGATAGACAAATATGATAGGTTGATAGACCTATGGATCATGCCACATCATACAACAATGCCATGAGGGGGACGGGGTACAACGACGCTGAATAGTACTGAGGTTTCTCCAAAATACTCATCGGTCTGGCCTGACAATGGTTCCAAAATTTGCCCCAATATTCCATAGCAACGTACCAGGACCCTGCACGAAAGTTCGTGGACCAGTTCCACTACTCATGTGTCAATAGGCAAACGAGACCTATCTTATGTCCGTAAAATAGAAGCGAGATGAGGACTTAAAAACCTACATGGACCGATTCACTATGGAACACCTCTGAGTACGAACTGTGATGAAAGCTTGGCTCGGTGGGCGTTGACGATTGCCCTGGGCGAGTTCCAGGTCGACACCATGGCAAAACTCATGGCTCGAATACAACAACATATAGTGGGGGAGGAGCTGCTCGAGGCACAAACCATGGGCAAGAAACATGTGGAGTCCTCGTGAAGGGACAAAGGTAAGACATCCGACCAAACCTCATCCGCGTGCAAGGAGTCGAGCTCAGGACGACCCAAAGCCAAGATGGAACAACCAATCAAGTTCGAAAAATATACGCCGACTTGTGTTCGCTTCCTCACAACTAGGAGAAAATTAGTGTAACTATACACTAAATAATCGATTGTAGTTCCAAACAAGGTCATCTCACAAGGATTTGAGCTATATTTTGATTCAGTAGTTCAGAATACCAAAAGGTAAAATAAAAATGGTTTGATTGAAGTATTGTAACTGATTTAAAAGTAAATTGTAAAAACAGTAAAATAAGACAGCTACTGAGATCTTTAGGTACAATGCTAGAGCATCCAGCACAGAGAACAAGTAGTTGTAAAGAAGAAACGATTTTAATGTAAATCGAGGGGATTCGCTAAGATGCTTTCACCATTTTGCTAACTATGCTCTAGCAACCCATAAATAATGAATCCCCAAACAGTCGTGGTTCTCTCCCGAGATACCCAAACATGCTTTAACCCAACTTCCGTTGTAATGAAAGCAAGCAATAAAATCAATCTATAGGCACAATAGGCTGAATCTCATCCATGAGTACTTACCATCATACTTCAAAGAAAGGTGTCTTAAGCTAATAGAAGCAATCACACTCAACAAGGACTCTCCCAAGCCTCAAACAAGCAAACACACTAAATAAGTTGGTCAAACAAATTCAATGAGATGGAAGAATAAGAAAACTTCTATTAAAATAGTATTTAAGGTCACCAAAACACAACAAACAACAAGGCTACAACAAGCTC